AGGTCTCGACAGATCACAATGCTGCTGATATGATCACCAAAACATTGCCAAGTTGCAAGTTTTTCCACTGTATGCAGTTGATAAAGCTGCATGAAGAAAGCTAGTTAGTGTCTCTTGATGCTGTAGAGTTAGGTCCAAGGTGGAGATTTGTGGGATTTTGGATCGAACTCTAGTTGGTCGAAGTACTTGCTGTAGTCGAAGAAGGTTCTAGCATGTATTTGTCGAAGGATGCTTGTCGAATTAGGTTTTAGTGTTTAAACCCTAATTTGTTAAGTTAGCTTGTTTGTTAAGTTAGCTTGTATAATGGGCCTTGTGGAAAAAGCCCATTAGTTAGTATGTTAGGTTTTATTATAAATAGCATACTAGTCTCTCATCATTGCCATCACAGCAAATCCTAATTTAGGGTGAGAGGGTTATTTGTTATTCTTGTAAACTTGTAATCTTGTTTTCTAAGAGAAAGTAAAGAATAGCAGTTATAACCAATTCCTGTGTTCTTCTTCTTCCTTGTTCTTTATTCTTCCAAATACTATACTTTGTTATTGACATTGAATTCACAACAGAAACATAACCCACATATGCTATTAACATTAACTGATGCTGTTATATTCAAAATCTGTGTATGCATATACAGGTTCAAAAACTATTGGTTACATGTTGTTAAGAAGACGCCACAGTCAAATATTTTGGAAAACCTCCTTGTAAATGATGTTTGTTGTAGGCCAAGGAGATTGGGAAGGGGACATATTCATTCTTGGAACATAGTCATTCTTTGTCCATAATAAGTTTATTATATTAAACAAAATAAGGAATTACCAACATCATATTGCTTTTTGTACTGTAAATTATGCATAGTTTTTTGCAGCTTAAATAACTAAAATCATATCAGTCTTTCATATACAATGTCAAAAGGATCAAACAAAAAGCAAGAATGACGAATAAAATCCTCATAAACCAGAATATTAAACAAAATAAGGAATTACCAACATCATATTGCTTTTTGTACTGTAAATTATGCATAGTTTTTTGCAGCTTAAATGACTAAAATCATATCAGTCTTTCATATACAATGTCAAAAGGATCAAACAAAAAGCAAGAATGACAAATCAAATCCTCATAAACCAGAAAAAACAAAATGTAAACCAGAAATATTTCATTACATCAATCAAAATTAGGTGTGCAATGTTGTCCAAAACAGCATAAAGTAATAATAAATCGTCGACGATAATTGACTGCATCATTTCTCCAGCTTGATGTCCCTTATTATCTTGGTGGACGATAGTTGGGCACTGTCGAGTTCTTCAACTGTCTCAGGAATAGATCTTTTTGACGGTGTAAGTGCAGAGTTGGCAACTGAAGGGTCATAATCTGCAGTGATTGATATATGATCCTGCCATTAAAGAGTCATTACAAAATCAGTAGCATAAAAATGGAAGTAAGACATTGTTTAATAGGCTAATTTGTTAATGTTGAAAGCTAAAAAAAGACGCACTGAAACTGTTTGTGGATCAGCATGAGACTGTTTTTCCGAGGTGCTGATGGTCGGAGTACACTGCAAGTTAAAAAACGCAAGAAATAAACGTTAGACAATTGTTCCAAATGTGATGGCAAGAGTAATAGGTCATTCCTATTTAAAACATACCGATGCTGTATGCATATCATCCCGAGTGTCATCTGTTGAGACGACAATCTTAGAAGTGTGCTGCAAGTTTTAAACAATTATTAAAAAAATCCAATGCACATGATATTGTTTTTAACAACAGTAAAACATGAGTACAGCAGTACCTCTACCTCTTCACATTTAAACATCTCCTTTATTTTGGTACGTAGCACTTCGTCTGCCTTAAATCCGATTACAGAAAGACTGGCCTTGTTTGGTTGAAACACTGCTCTTATAGCCAACTCCTTCTTCAGCATCACATCAAGTTCATAAGGGAATTCAAGGGGATCAAAATCTCCAGTCTAAATGATTAAAACAATATATGTTAGTTACGTGGTAATTATCTAACTTACATATTAGACAAATGGAAAATACCTCCATCAAATCCAACTTCATCTGAAGGGCGGACTTCCCAATCAACTTTACACAATCTACATCCCAAAATACGAACTTGTATTTTAACTTTCCATCAGAGTCAAGCACTTCAAGCTTAAACCTGTACCATGCGTGATAAAAATAAGAAATTGTCAGTAATGAAGCGCTTGGTTATATGATGATAATCATTGATATGCAATACTTAGAAGTTACCTTGGGACTGGCTCAGAACTGATGTGTTTGGAATAACACATGAATTTTCCATCCTTCAAAGTCACACTTTTGGTACATTCACTACATCCATCATAATACCATCCTGACTGCCCACATTCAAACTTCTCCAGAGTTGCAACAGTCACACATGTAGTTTCTTGAAACAGAAAGATGGGATGATGTCTCAAAAAATGGATTAGAACCCAGTCTGTGTAATTCCTCAATCTAAGACAGTCATGTATTAAAGAGCAACGTACTGTCTGCAGATATACAATATCAGACAGACTCAACACTTCAGCTTTCCATACAAATTTGTCCAAATCAGAAAAAACAGAGGTATTTGTGGTTTCCATTTTCATGCTTGAGGATGAGAGCGTCGGCAGATCATCTTTAAGTCTGATGATCATAGATCAGAATGAAAACAGGCTGTTAGAAATCATAGGTTGCTAATTCATAACTTCAGAATAAAATCACTTACTTCTCTTTAAGGTTTTTAACCTCCTCAATAGACAAATCATTGATGAGCAGTTTTGTGCCGTTCCAAGCATTTGATACATTTAAAGGATAATTTCCTGAAAATTGAGATATTTATAAATGACAACACTTAAAGTTGGATATAATAATTGGATGTAATAAGAAATAGTCACATAGCAAACCTTGAGGTTCCTTGATCCTTGCATTCATAAGTAGGAGAACAATACTACCATCAGCCTTATGAGTCGTATAATACTCATTCAGTTGCACAGCTAATTTACCCCAAAGAGTACATTGCACATGATGTTTGCTGATTCACAGGAATTTCAAAACAAACAACATGAACATGTTAAACTTTTATATTTGTCAGCATCAATGTTAACAAACAAAATGAAACACCTACCTCAGATCAGTTAATGAAAACACAACCTTGCTTTTGTTGTTATCAGGAATTATCTGGGCTTGGGATATTTCAGTAACCCCACCAATTATATCTGCACAAAAGTTCACCACAGACAGTTATGGATAACAGAAAAGTAACAATACAATACGTTCTATTATAACAGTAAAAAGGTAACTCACCATATAACAAATTCGTTCTGTATTTACCCTCAATAATAGCATTTATTCCAATTAACTTGAGATGGTTCAGAGGTATCTCAGAAAGTTGGACCTTTTTGACGGAAGTTGAACCACAGAAAATCAATTTGAACTTATGATCAGTGGATTTGAAGGAGAAATCATTGCTGGAAACTTTGAAATTCTGCATTACGTAGGAACAACCAACTTCAAGCTGTGTTTTGAATTTTGATACCAAATAAGATGGCACAATGGCTGGAAAAAAATCCAACTGTGAAAATACAAACCTGCATTATGTAGGAACAACCAACTTCAACCTGTGTTTTGAATTTTGATACCAAATAAGATGGCACAATGGCTTGAATCAAATCCAACTGTGAAAATACAAACATGTTGAAATCAGTATCATATAACAGTACAGTTACAACAAAATCAGAATGCCAAAGCAGAAAAGTTTAGATTGTATTATACCTTTGAATCAAACAGAATAAGCTCTAAGTGCTCTCTATTCTGAGAACTGGTAACAGACCACATATGCTTACATCTAACAGCAACCTTCCACAAATCCTTCGAATCGTCAATGCTATTGATATACTCGATTGGGCGCGCCATCCTCACGCATGAATTCGTAATAGCGCAGAGACAACAAGGTGTTAAGCAATGGAAAACGACTCCTCACGTCTGCAGCAATGAAGAAAGAGTGAAAAACTGTTGAGGTTCCATTTGAATTTGAAAACTGATTAAGAGAGGCATAATGGTTTGGCATGGGGAAGAGGAAGAGAGACATATTGAATTGCAACGGATTATGGTTTGGCATGGGGAAGAGGAAGAGAGGCATAATGGCATGGATTTATTTGGAAAAAAAAATTGAAAATGTGGTGAAAAATTGTGGGAGTGCCACATCAAATTCAAATGAATGTGGTGCAAGATATTTTTGAGTTTCCTAATTTACCCCAATACAATAGACCAAGAAAGCATTTTATCAGCTTTGGTGTTTTGGTAAAATCCAGGGACATTGATTTTTATAGATAGATAATAGATTAATAAAAAAGGAAGTGTTGAATAAAGAACTTGAAACATTGAAGAGATTATAACCATTAAAAAACGTAAGATGAATGATAAGTTACATGATGTTCGAAAATCATTGATTATTATAACTTGTTCTTTAAATATATCATAATTGTTCATATAATTATTTTTCTATCCAATTTGAGAAGTTATACATTCTTTTAGGGCATAGTGAAATAATCAATCACATTTAATATAGTAAACTCAATCGTGTTTTATCCGTCGGTGGAATGTCAAAACTAAAGAAAAAAGTGTTTTCGCCATTTAAAAATTTCAACAAAAAAATATCTCACTATTGAACCCATGACCTTCACATATTACCCATCAATGGAACTAAAACCTAACTTTTTATGACGCCCTACATTACTTCCCAATTGAAACCGAGCTAAAACTTTATATTCAACCGAACTTAAATATGTTTTTCGTTGCGTTGCATATAAATTGATTTTTTTTTCGCTCTAGATTCGAGGCGGAGGTGGTTGAGTTCGGATTCTTTCGCGATGTCCAAATCAATATCGACTAGATTACCTTGTCAATCATAAGAATAAAGATTATTGGTAGCTTTTAGTCTCTTATTTCACATTTGTTCACAAATATGCATCCACATACAAAAGCACTTATATGATATATAAAGCTAAGAGCTGCTAGCACTTGACTCGGAGTTCTTATTGTTGATTTTTCCTGAACTCAAACCATGCTTAGAAGTTGAACTCAATTGCAGAGATGCAGAAAACTCATGTGGGAAATTCAACAAGGCCTTAGAACCCCTCATTCTAAAAGCTGCTTTATCATACGCAATTGCAGCTTCTTCAGCAGTTTTAAATGTACCAAGCCATACCCTAGCTCCATTTCGCGCCGAGTCACGAATCTCCGCAGCATATTTTCCCCATGGCCGACGCCTCACACCTCTGTACTTCTTCTTTTCAATATCCTTGCTTTGCTCTAGGCCATTTTGGTGCCTTTGTTGAACCATTGTGTTGCTGAGTTCATTGGCTTCATTAAGAATTTGGAATATGATCATGTCTTGAGAATCGTTTTCATTGAGTGGTAACTCAGTTTGTGAGATTAAAGCCATGGAAGCTTTTGAAGAAGTATTAAGGTTGTGATTTGTGGCTCTGAATTTGTGTGTATATTGAGTTTCTCCCAATGTAATCAACGTTACAAAATATTACACATGTTTATAGTATGGTTTTCTTGCAATAATAATTAAGGCAGAGACAAAAATGGCTCAACCATCATTACATTACATGGACATGGAGTGAATAGTTTAGATTCTTCATAAGCACAAATGATAAAGCATGTTTCACATTTATGATGATTATTTTTTTGATACATGCTGTACTTGAGTTGAGAATTTCAGATTAAATGAACTCTCCATTGGTTATTTGTGTCTATGCTTAATAAGTTGGGATGAAAATGACTACTACAATAATTATTAGACTTGATAATGTGTGTAAGAGTGTTATAAAAAAAAGAATGTGTGTAAGCTGTAGGCTAAAAGTTTAAATTTAATTATAATATTTATTTATATTTCTGTATTAACATTAATAAGTTGTTGATATTTATAAATCAATAATTTAAAAAAATAATTAAGTAAGTTATTCAATTATAGTTTATAAATAATTTTTTTTAAATATAAATGTGTAATTTATATATATATATATATATATATATATATATATATATATATATATATATATATATATATATATATATATATATATATATATATATATATATATATATATATATATATATATATATATATATATATATATATATATATATATATATATATATATATATATATATATATATATATATATATATATATATATATATATATATATATATATATATATATATATATATATATATATATATATATATATATATATATATATGTTTACAAAAATTATTTAATGGTAAATACTAAAATAATATTTAAAGAATGGTGTCTATGTTATAAATTATTTTATAAGATATCAAGAAAATTTATGAAATTAAACTAAAAATAATATATAAAAGATAAATTGTTTTCATAATTATTTTTAAACAATTTCAAAATTTTATAATTACTCGTATCTGCATCCATATCTATTTTATGGATTTTTATCTTATCTTTTATGAATATTTTTTATATATATTATAGCGTATGGATCAAATTCGCGTTTCTATTAGATTTATTTACAAATGACACTCTCTCAAAAACTTTAAACCCTGAAGTGGGAATTTGAGCTAGCTCCTTTATAGATGAGTCATTTCTTAAGTAACTGCCAAATTTTATCTTAATAAATATTAATTATTCAATAGATATGAATAAATAAATTTTTTATAAATATAATATTTTATGAATATAATATCTGATAATATATATTTTATACAAATATAATATTTTATAAATATGATCAGACAGTATGTAATTACGAAAACCCTAATTTAAACCTTATTATCTTATTAAAAAAAAGGTAATATTTATCTCTAGAGTAAGGTTAATTTATGTCTTAAGTACACATGTTAAGAATTGAATGGAAAAAAATTATTTTGGAAATTATACATTAATTTTAATAAAAATATAAAATTGTTTTTTTTATTGTTTTTTTTTTCAATACAAACTTTTTTATAAGTGAATTTCTTAAATTGTGTCCCTAAGACACAAATTAATAATACATTTATTTTAAATTATTTTTTATGTAAAAATCAAATTGCTTATAATAATGGATGATGAAGCTTTCTCTAAAAAAAAACTTAATATTTCTGTCTGCTCAATGTTGAATTCAAATCCAAAAAATTTGATTAAGAGAGAAGAAATCTCTCAATCTCATTCAAATGTTTTTTAATTTTTAAAAGGGTTATATATATTTGTAGTCCCTGTAAATACGTGATCTTACAATTTTGATCCTAATTTTTTTTAAATAATGGTTCTCTTCAAATTTTCTATCATCTTTTTTTTATCCTCCTGCAATTTAACTACAATTTAGTTACTAATTTAGTCGCTAAGTGAAAAATTATCGTTAATTCATAGCTAAATCGCAGCTATATTGCACGAGGATCAAAATATATAGACGGAAAATTTTAAAAAGACCATTGTTTAAAGAAAATTTTTAGAGAGGTCAAAATTAAAGGGTCGCATATTTATAAGGACTTGTGACATACTTAACCCTTTTAAAAATTATTATAACTATTTAAATTACATGTTTTAAAGGACAATAAAAGTAACACCTATTTTTTTAATAATGTAGGCTTACAACCACCAAAATCACTCGTACTGAAACTTTAATGATTAACTTTAATATTTGTGATTGTTAGATGTATAATTATTGTTTTGTCGAAATGCTTGTGTAGTGTATGTCGAATAGATTATAAGTTGTATTCGACAGAGTCGAATACAGCTGATATTACAGTCTGTCAAATTCATGTTTTGGGCTTTAGTATTTTGTCTAATTGGGCATGGGTATTATTTGCCTATATAAAGGCTGCTGAGTTTGTAAAAAGAAAGTCAGTGAAAAAGCAATCAAATTAACAAACTCTCATTTCTCTCTTCTCTCTTCTTCTTCTTCTTCTCTTCCATAAATCATCTTTATTGAAAATCCTTTGTTCCAACAAATTGGTATAACAGAGCTCGGTTGTGATTCAGAGAGAATCTAATGGCAAACGGAACAACAACATCGACACAGTTTCCAGCGAATCTACTGGTTTTCAAATATAAAAACTATCAGCGGTGGGTTGCACAGATGAAGGTTATTTTCCGATTTCAAGATGTTGTTGAAATCTTGAATGATGGAGTATCAGAACTAGAAGCAAATGCGACGTAAGCCTAGAAAACTGCGCACAAAGATCAGAGGAAGAAAGATGGTAAAGCATTATTCTTGATTCACCAGTGTGTGAATTTTGATGTATTTGAGAAAATAATTAAAGAAGAAACAGTAAAAGGAGCTTGGGAAAAGTTAAAAACCTTGTATGGTGGAGATGAGAAATTGAAGAAGGTGAAGTTATAGACACTAAGGAAGCAATACGAGATACTTCAGATGAAAGAAAATGAATTTATATCTGCATATTTGTCAAGATTTGTGACGCTAACAAACTAGATGAAGGCATGTGGTAAATCAGTTACAGATCTGCAGAAGATAGAAAAAGGTGTTGAGATCTTTAATTGCAGTTTGACTATATTGTTGTGACAATTGAAGAGGCCAAGAATCTATCTGAGATGAAGTTGGAAGAACTTCCAGCTTCATTGGAGGTGCGTGAAATGAGGTTGAAGCTGAGAAACTCAGAAAGAGAGAAGGTAACTGAACAGGCATTGCAATCAAGATTCAGCAAGAAAGCTGGAAAAGAGAAGTCAATGCAGCAAAAGAATCTTGATATTGATGAGAAGTCAAGTAAGAATACTGATTCGATCAACAAAGGTGTGGGCAACAAGTATTATGGGAAGAAAGTTGACACGAAAGAGGTGCAATGTTACAATTGTCAAGGCTTTGGTTACTATGCTAGAGACTGTCGAAGAAAGAAAGCTGCAAGAGAGAAAGATAGTGATGAAGCTCAATATGCACGAGCTGGAGATAGTGATTCAGATGATGTGTTGTTGATGGTGAACACTCAGTCGAACACTAAGAAAAACAACATTATGTATCTGGATTCAGTATGCAGCAACCACATGACTGACAATAAAAATGGTTTTACCAAGTTAGATGAGTCAGTTGAAAAGGTGATAAAGTTTGCAGATAGTAGGCACATCAAATCAGGTGGTAAAGGAGATATTTCGATTGTCAGGAAGGATGATCGAAAAGTTAATATCACTGAAGTACTATATGTACCTTCTATGATAAGTAACTTGATAAGTGGAGGTCACTTACTTGCAAAAGGCTTCAATATGAAGCTGGAGAAAAATATGATGAAGGTATATATAAGACTGATGGGAGGCTAATAATGAAAGTACCATTGGCGGAGAACAAAACGTTCAAAGTTGAACTCAACACATCAAATTAAAAATGTATTGCTTCAACTACAGAAGAAGACAAAAACTGGCTATGGCATCACATGTATAGACATCTAAACTTCAAAATTTTAGGCATGCTCAATAAAAAAAGGATGGTGTTTGGATTGTTGTATGTAAAGGAACCAAAGCAGGTATGCGAGGAATGCTACAAAGCAAAATAGGCAAGGAAGGCGTTCAAACATGACTTGCCAGTAAAATCAAAGCAAAAACTGGAGTTGGTTCATTCTTTCATTCTGATGTGTGTGGACCTTTTAAAGTAAATTCAAATGGAGGTAACATATATTTTCTTACTTTTATTGATGAATTCACCAGATATATGTGGATTTACCTTATTGAAAAGAAGGGTGACGTGTTCACACAGTTCAAGAAGTTCAAGTTGTATGCTAAGAAACAAAGTGGCTGCAAATTGAAGAAGTTAAGAACTGATGGTGGTGGTGAATATACTTCTGCTGAATTTGCTAAATTTTGCAATGAGAAAGATATAGATCATGAGGTTATTGCACCCTATACGCCTCAACATAATGGCATGCTAAGAGAAAGAATAGAAGTATATTGAACATGATGAGAAGTATGTTGAAAGCTAAAGATATGCCTAAGAGATTTTGGGATGAAACAACTTCGACAGCAGTATATATTCTAAATAGATGCCCAAAGAAGAAGATGGTCGAAAAGACACCGCATGAGGCTTGGACAGGGTCGAAGCCAAATGTGAGTCATCTTAGAGTTTTTGGATCAATGTGCTTCAGGCATGTACTTGGAAAGAAGCTGGATGATCGAAGTGAAGTCATGGTGCTCATAGGTTATCATTATACTAGTGCATACAAGTTTTATTCGCCAAACGAAGATAAACTAGTGATCAGTCAAGATGTTCTTGTAGACAAAAGAAAAGGGTGGGACTGGAGTCAAAGTTTAGTTCGACAAGAATAAAACACAATCACAACTGTGTTCAACAAAGATGCTTCGACAAGTCGAAATGAACAAGGTGATACTTCAACCAGTCAAAATGAAGGACCACCTGTGCAGAATGAAAGAAGGTCAACAAGAACAAGAACTGAGGCAACCTGGCTAACTAGATATGA